GGTGAGATTTGAACCGCTGAACTGCAGATAGCAGTCAGTTGAAGTGGCCTGCAGTACTGGGCTCTAACCACTGTGCCACCTCGGCTCTTCTTAATGAAATGTTTGCCAGAAAACAACCAAGCTCAGAGAGCACTAGGAACTCCACAGTTCAACCCGGAGCTACAAAAATTCTCTTCTATTGGCTAGACATGATTCATCCATCTAGCAAGATTGGAACGAATGGGGTTGAATCTGCAGGAAAACCGATCTCAGCTAAATATTGGAAGATTTGTCTTAACTCTACAAGCTGTTTGATAGCAAACAACTATCAAAACAGAAAGTCATTGCCAGGGCTGTTATAATTACCAGATTTTTGCAGTGAGTCCAAGGTTGGATTCAACGTCTTCCCTTTCCAAGTTTGAAAATTCTAGGCTATTTCTTTTTCCAACATCCGAAAAAGAATATGCTTTCTTTCTGCACGCTAGAGCTACTAGGCAGTCAAAAGGCAGGATCAGTTTTAAAAAAATGGATACACACTTTCCCCTTGCAGATCCTCACTTGATCTCTCATGCAGCTTTTTTGGCTCCTTGGCCTGAACTCAGTGATCAATGCAGCTCCCTAAAGGAACTTGACAGTTCACGAGAAAGTAAGCATTCAGAAATCAGCATTAATCATTTCTCCATGATGGCCCGGCCATATGCTATATTACTCGAGGAATCAGTGAGCCCCTTCATTGGCTCAAGTAGCTTCCTTTGTGTGAAAGAAAGCGTACATCAATAGGTGTTACCTCTGCAGGCAACATACAAATTATAATTAGAGGGAGGTGTAATTAAAGCAAATGACAATGGTCTAGTTGTTATTGTTGTCAAGAGCCTGCAATTTGGTTGCTTGGCAGCCAGGGGAAATCATCTCTGCTTTGTCAGGAGCTTAGGAAAAAAAATTTGCTCTGATATGCTGCAAGACTTGTATGCTCCTCTTCTTCTTAAGCCAGGGGTCAGCGACCCGCAGCTCTGGAGCCCCCCGTGGCTCTTTTGTCCCTCTGCTGTGGCTCCCAGTTGCCAGTCCACAATTGATAGGGCTTTCAGTTAGGACAGGTAGAGAAAAAAAGGATGCGGCACTAGGAGGAGATTCTATGGTGGGGGAACCGGACTTCTGGTCGACTCCAGAATTGAATGGGTGTGTGTGTTTGTGTTCCGTTTAGGACCTTTGTGGCTCTTTGAGTGTTTAAGGTTGCCGACCCCTGTCCATTATCTGACCATCTCTAGGTCTCAAAGGTGCTTCTCCCTGATGAAAGAAATGTCCTTCTGGGTTCAGCTCCAAGTGGGGGAAAAGACACTGGAGACATGG